CCTCTGCTATTAACACCCAATGCAGGTCGCGCTACGCGATCGTTTGCTTTAGTAGTAAAAAGAAAATGTATGAGGTCGGAAATGTTTTCTTCTGCCTGTTACATACATATATTTGCTCAAAAACATACCCTTTTTACCCATTTTTAATGGGTTCAGGGTATAAAAAGATAGAAAGTGTTTATGGACGAGCATAGCGCTCAAATCTTATATAGCCAGGAAAAGAAAATTTTGTTGCTTATGCCTTACTACGAGAAAATGTACATGCTCTAGAAGACTGTGCACCATCTGATTAAGCCACTATTAATAGCAAACTGTCGGTAACCTACAATGTCAAGTCCACCGAAAAGCCGCTTTTGAAATCAAATAATTATAGAAGAAGGCGGCATTATATTAAATTTTTAATTAAATTATTAAAAGGTAGTGAAAAAAAAAGAATATCTTTGACACTCATCGAACTTTACCATAAAGTTGGTTATGAAACATTTCTCCCAGTCTCATATGAAAAAAATACTAGATTCTGAGAAAGTATTATATATGTATTTCATAGATATACTAGAAGCACTAATATTCTGGGAACCGCTTTGGAGGTCGTTGCTGAAACCCTCGATTTCAAAGACATTGATAAAATAAAATGCAACCTGCAAAAGTTAATTGATCAATAGACAGACAAGAAGTTCTAAGCACTTGAGTGCAAGAACAACATAATAATTAATCCGAAACCGTAATTACTATTGTCAGGGTTGCAAAAGAGAAACAAATCGAAGAAGGCCTCCTCTATGAAACATTACGCGCAAGGGACAGTATTTTTCTTTCAGAGTTCGAGACATTAATGTTGTCGGTTACACTTGTAAGCATTATAATTCAAAGCCCTGCTATTCTTGATTGTGAAGAAGTGGTGAATATTTTAAATGAGCATTCTACAAGTATCATTGTAACTGACTTAATGCAGGTAACACATGTTAATGTTTCATTAGATCATAAAGCTTACCATTTTATTATAAATACCCAGATCCTAGTTAAGTTTGTAAAGAGATCCGTTCAACGAAACAGTACAATACTTCATTTCACTGAAAATAATAATGTCGCAGACTGCGGTAATTAAATCCGGCCCATGAACTGCCACGTTAAGGTGAAAATTCTGTTCATGATATGTCCTCAACAACTACATTCCGGCGGTTAGACAACAGTAAAGGGAAAACCACCAATGGCCCGTTCTTGCTGGCATTCGACGATGAAGTTGAAACGAATGGGTTTCTGTTCCGGAACATGCAGAATATCTTACGAAAACACCCAGGCTCAGCTACATCGGCATTCCTGAATATCACCGGTCATCAGGAAATTTTAAGTCTACCATACCTGCAAAGGCTGAACATCGACAGTCATTGGTGACATAGAGAAAAAACTGACTACAACGCCCGCAATATTCAAAGTATCCATCATCGTCGTCCTACATATTGGGCCCTTTCTCTCGAAGATCTAACAAAGACTAAAAAGAGCCAGCCAACAAGCTTCCCTACATATTGTTTTTGATAGTCTGAAGAAAACCAAGGACTGCTTTCATCTTAGTGAGGGAGGAGTTAACACCTCCGGCCAGACATAAGTCAACGGCCGTTCGATCATGCATAATTTGTACAGTTTTGAGCTTGCTCAACATTCTTACGCCGCATGGGCGGCTACAACAAATTGGCCACGCGTTGGCAACAATGTTGTCTCCATCGTTTCCATGCGTTCGTTGTCCGAAATATGATCCGCTTGGACTTGATATATAAGCGAATATGAATCACAGGGCAAACTTCGCCTCAGTAACATTTATGTACTTTGCTTTAGTTAGATTTAAAAAATTAATCCGTTCAGACCTAAAAGTCTAGTACCCTTTATTACTAAGTGGCATCTCAGAAGTAAGGAGATGCCAAAAAGCTTAACTTGCAGAATGACTCCTTGTAAAGGAGTTTAAAAGTTGGGGTTGTACAACTCAATCTACCTGGGTCCACTCTACAAGAAATTTGTAGACTGCCGTGACGTGGTGCTGAAAGGTGGGAAGTGAGCTGCTAGGATCGCTCCACCGCAGAGTGATTATGTTTAAGGAAAGGAGCGGAACCGCAGGAATCGCTCCGCCGTGGCGCAGGTAAGGGCTAACCAGCGTGATGGGTGCTGCTGGGATCGCTCCACCGCAGTGTGAAAGAACTGAAAACAAATTATCGCTAGTCGGCCGCGGCTGCCGAATAGTTAGCAAAAACAATTCAAAACATTATGTATTTTCTCTACTGGAATTATGCTTCTCCCTATTGCTGATTAGTCTCACGGTCTTACGACCCTTTTTCGCCCTTTTCGCCGTGCCTTTAAGCCTATTCGCTTATCTGCTCTTCCTGTTAATACTTTCGGAGCCAGAGTTCTTTCTAACTCGACTTAAACTATAATCGATTTCCTATATTCATATTCATTCGTGTTCATAATCAAACCACCTGCTCGTTTATCGTTGGTCGCCAATCTCTTCAACGCATATTGTAGTGCCTCCCCTGGTCCTGAGAAGCATGCGGTTGTGGCGGACGATATCAAACACCTCTCTCAGACGTCCGGCCTTCTCCCCTAGTGTCTGTTGGACAATGGCGGAGTCGGGCGTAACCTCGTCACTGGGAGACGAGGCTCGCGGCCTTGTACTAAGAAGGCGAGGGAAAATCCAGTCGAATCGGCCACGGCTAGCGCTATTTCTGGTAGCATCTTGTCCTACGAACTTTGATGTTTTTCTATGAAGTGTGGAACACATAAGCCTGGCATGCGATAAAAAAACTATCGATAGTTTCCAAGATATCTGGTCGTATTTCTAAGGTACGCGACTCATCTGTCATCGCATGCTGGTTAACTCTCTTGTCTCAGGTCTAGAAAAAGTCTTCGTTTTGAGTGCGGCTACCTTGCATTTGGATTTCAACAACGAAATACTAAAACCTTTTGTAGTATGAATGCGTATATATACGCATGCGCCGAGCGGTCTTAATATAGAGCCGGCGAAACTATACATTTCGATCAATGAAGTTGGTTCTGTAAACACACATTGTGGTATATATTTCTTTGCAACTGAGACAAAGTTCAGTTGCTGCCACGAGTTTTCCAAACTCAAAGGGAAAGATGCATCGCAGTCTAATTTTTGTAGCCAAAGCTCTTGGAGTATGATTTTTGCCATACCACAGAGTTATCGTTCAGTTTTGTCGCTTTGAGACCTATGAATGAATCGTCTAGCTTAAATTGAAAAGCATCTTTATTCGGCAATCACTTCATGCCAAGTGTTTTAGTTGTGTCAGACTTTGAGATTGTTATCGGCTTGGCGGCGTTTGTTGCGGAGAACTCAGGAGAATTTGAAAATTTTTTTTTGTATTTATTTAAACCTGTGCTTTAAAGCATTTGCGACAACTAAGATTAACCTGAAGAAAATCAAAAGAACAGGTGGGGTCTTTCGAGCAGGAAATATCCATCTGATTCTTGCACCATGTCCTGCCTACACATCTTTTTAATGTCAGCTGTCAATGCATACTAGGAGAGTCTAAATCGAAGCAGAATCGAATAAAGGTTGGGTCCAACCAAACGAAGGTCATTCAACGCAATTTAATACGAATTCTGACAGGACGCTTCGAAAACACACTGATGCGAAATGAAATAGCGTGTACTTGGAATCTGATTACCTATTTCTGACATGTGACCTAACGTTAAATATTCTTCCATGAATTCCAAGTACATACACCTAACCTCGGGATATCGAGATAAGCGTCTTTCAAGTGATAAAAACCGCTTAGCAACATCGAACGAGTTACCAAGCTGATTGGGATGTGTAATTGAATGGCAGTCTTACTTTAAACTGACCTGACATCAATATATTCAAATTATGTAGAAAGTCGCTCTAACTTAACTGCTGTACAATTTTTTCGGATTTTTTTGGCTATTGGCGACTCTTCCGCAAAGTTTTGTCTACCTAGGTATATGACTCTTCTTAATAGCTCGGACCTTAACATGAGTCTTCTCATGACATGTCGGCATGTAAATTCCTAAGACAATCCTACAAGAGTCTTGTTCAGAATCGACAATTCGAACCTTGCTTGATCGACGGATATAAGTTTAAAGAACGTATTAGCTCCACAGAGCATGTCGATCTTCTAGGGCATGTGAAAATATATCAGCCATTTGCAAAATAAATAATAAAATAATCAGATTTTTAAAATGCCCACAGCAAATTCAAAAAGAATTATATGAAATGATATGAAAAAGAAATCGCTTCTTTGCCGACCTAAATGAACTACTCCCGTATAATACAAATATCGTTGCTACCATTCCAATAGAGAATGAAATCCCGAGTTACTCCAAACTATACCCTAACCCAATTGGGCTGTCCGATTTTGTAGATAATAAAACCATAACTTTCTCAAAGGCAACATTATAAGGCCATCTAGATAATAACCCAGTGAGAGAAGTAAATGGAAAGAGAACAGGTGAACAAGGAAACAGGAAGCTGAATTCTAAAAATACTGACGATCCTATACTTAACATAAAAGCTATCCTTTCAAATCTCGGAAAAGCCGAGCATTTTACAACGCTTGATTTAAAATCGAGATTTCACCAAACATTACTTGTAGAAAAGGATAGACAAAAAACTGATTACTACAAGCTTGTGGTTTATGTGGATTATGGTATCACCTTCTCAGAAAACATGGAGGACCATGAGGACCACGAGAAAAATCACACTTTTTAGAGAAAAGGTAGAGTATCTTGGATTTATGGTCTCTCGCGGCGGTATAAAAAGGAAACCCAGTAAAGTAGAGGCAATAGATCATTTTTATTAATGATTTCGCAATAAAGCTAAGCCGCCAACGAAAATACTTAAGGGTAACAAGGGTTAAGTGAGCGTTGGCCAATAAAAAAATATACCTGTGAGCCTCAACGAAAAACAGCGTCGGACTTTTGAGAAACTTAAAAAATATTCATCTTTCAGAAGACGTCTGTTACTATTAAAACGACTTGACTTGACGATAGATGCCTTATCTGTTGGCTTAAAAGCAGACCTATCTCAAGATGAGAAACCAATTACTATAATTTCCAGGAACCCAAGATATAATGGACAAAACTTGGCGACAAACGAAGGTGAGCTACTTGCCGTAGTTTGGACCCTAAACAACTATCTGTACGGCGCAGAAAATTTAAAAAGTTACTTGAACGCAAAAATAACAAGAGGCTCTAGTCGGGAACTCCCGACTAGGGGATACCCTGAACCCTCTGCTATTAACACCCAATGCAGCTCGCGCTACGCGATCGTTTGCTTTAGTAGTAAAAAGAAAATGTATGAGGTCGGAAATGTTTTCTTCTGCCTGTTACATACATTTGCTCAAAAACATACCCTTTTTACTCATTTTTAATGGGTTCAGGGTATAAAAAGATAGAAAGTGTTTATGGACGAGCATAGCGCTCAAATCTTATATAGCCAGGAAAAGAAAATTTTGTTGCTTATGCCTTACTACGAGAAAATTTACATGCTCTAGAAGACTGTGCACCATCTGATTAAGCCACTATTAATAGCAAACTGTCGGTAACCTACAATGTCAAGTCCACCGAAAAGCCGCTTTTGAAATCAAATAATTATACAAGAAAGCACCATAATTATGTTCGGTCAGAAAACAAGACATATCGTATAATTTTCAAATAATGAACGTCTAATGGAAAATGTGTATGATGCTGTCAAGAAGAAGGTACCACATACTCCGAAATTGCTAAGGAAACAAGATTGGTTATAAAACATTTCTCCCAGTCTCATATGAAAAAAATACTAGATTCTGAGAAAGTATAATATATGTATTCCATAGATAAACTAGAAGAACTAATATTCTGGGAACCGCTTTGGAGGTCGTTGGTGAAATCCTCGATTTCAAAGACTTTGATAAAATAAAATGCAACCTGCAAAAGTTAATTGATCAATAGACAGACAAGAAGTTCTAAGCACTTGAGTGCAAGAACAAAATAATAATTTAATCGAAACCGTAATTACAATTGTCAGGGTTGCAAAAGAGAAACAAATCGAAGAAGGCCTCCTTTATGAAACATTACGCGCAAGGGACAGTATTTTTCTTTCAGAGTTCGAGACATTAATGTTGTCGGTAACTCTTGATTCTGAAGATGTGGGGAATATTTTAAATGAGCATTCTACAAGTATCATTGTAACTGATTTAATGTAGGTAACACATGTTAATGTTTTATTAGATCATAAAGCTTACCATATTATTATAAATACCTAGATCCTAGTTTAGATTGTAAGGAGATGACTCTGTTTTCCGTTCAACGAAACAATACTTTATTTCACTGAAAATAATAATGTCGCAGACTGCGGTAATTAAATCCTGCCCATGAACTGCCACGTTAAGGTGAAAATTCTGTTCACGAAATGTCCTCAACAACTACATTCCGGCGGTTAGACAACAGTAAAGGGAAAACCACCAATGGCCCGTTCTTGCTGACATTCGACGATGAAGTTGAAACGAATGGGTTTCTGTTCCGGAACATGCAGAATATCTTACAAATTACCCAGGCTCAGCAACATCGGCATTCCTGAATATCACCGGTCATCAGGAAATTTTAAGTCTACCATACCTGCAAAGGCTGCACATCGACAGTCATTGGTGACATAGAGAAAAAACTGACTACAACGCCCGCAATATTCAAAGTATCCATCATCGTCATCCTACACATTGGGTTCTTTCTCTGGAAGATATACCAAAGACGTAAAAGAGCTAGCCAACTAGCTTCCCTACAGATTGTTATTGATAGTCTGAAAAAAACCAAGGACTGCCTTCATCTTAGTGAGGGAGAAGTTAACACATCCGGCTAGACATAAAGCAACGGCCGTTTGATCATGCATAATTTGAACAGTTTGAGCATGCTCAACATTCTGGCGCCGCATGTGCTGCTACAACAAATTGGCCACTCGTTGGCAACAATGTTGTCTCCATCGTTTCCATGCACTTACTGTCCGAAATACGATCCGCTTGGACTAAGTAATGTATTAGCGAATTCACCGCAGAGTTGTTAAGTTTAAGGAAAGGAACGGAACCGCAGTGGCGCAGGTAAGGGCTAACCAGCGTGATGGGTGCTGCTGGGATCGCTTCGCCGCAGTGTGAAAGAACTGAAAACAAATTATCGCTTATCGGCCTCGGCTGCCGAATGATTAGCAAAAACAATTCAAAACACTTTGTATTTTTTCCACTGGAATTCTTGTTCTCCCTATTGGGTACAATTCGATGGCCCTGCCGCACCGTCAATTCTTGACAATCGCGCCTATCTTTCAGGCAGGTTTGCAGACATTTTCCAACCACTGACATTAACTGTATGGTCTGGCTGGAACCCCAATATGGCTTTCAAGATCCACAGATCTAACGAGAACTCGCTTACTCCCAAAATTATAAAAAAAATTGTTAAACAGAAACGAGTAAAGCTCTAGCAAAAACAAAATCGTCACTTGTCGTTTTGACGGTAACGGCTGATGTTGCTAGTATAACACTATCAGACATATTCCCATGTATAGCATGGGAGGTTAATGGTTGATCCTGTGCGGAGTCAAGGGGTGGTGGTAACGCTCAAGTGTTAGAAACGGCAGATTTTCTTTGCAACAGTGTGTTATGAGAACAATTTCGCACCCTTTTTGTTTTATCTTACATCTGGCAACAGTGTGTCCCATCCGAAGGCACTTGATGCAATAAAAAGCCGCCTTAGCGATCTCTAATCTGCACTAAGGTGAATGTTGATTGGCTGCACATTTTTTTTTCAACAGCTATTGATTGATCTTGACGATGCAGCAGAAGGTTGCGCTATCTTTGGTTGGCTAAAGAGAGCCAAAATAGTCTTATTGAATAATAGACATTCTTTATCGTAAGTTGTCGAATGCTTTGAAATTAATTGTCCTCGGTAACTTGAAATGCGCTTCCCTATACTCTGTTTCGCGTGATTGTTATCAACAAGAGAAGAGGCTTATTAAATTCTTGAAGTCAACTTATTTTTCATTAAACTTATGAAGTGCCAGGTGCGTAAGACGTGTACGTGGAGCCGCGAGGGGCATGCCTGCAGGCGTGGCAGGACTTAGAGACTTTATAACAGATTTTAAACAAGCTTTTGTCGTTATGCAGAGTTCTTCTAGCTGGCCACGATAATAATCATCTGGGTCAAAAGTTTCTACTCGAGTCTGATTCTTTAACGCTGTATCTATGTGAAGGGTTATCATTTGTTATATTCATTCTAACATGGTAGATTATACGTTTAATTTACCCTTAATTATTTGGTCATTTAACGCACAATGCTTTTAATAGACACACTGCGTTTGTTTTTTTTTCATCGTCAAAACTTTTTTTAGTTGCCATGTCTAAATTTAAATTCAATTTAAAATTATACATGTAAATTAAAATCGAATTTTGTTTTTATATCATTTGTAGAAGTTAAGCTAAAACGTTCACGCTCTAGGTGCCAAACGACTTTAAACAAGTGATATGCCTGATTAGTAATTACAATAACAATTTTACAGCTAAGCACAAAGAGAAACAGAAATAAGCGGAGTGCAGCTGGCTTGCTAATGTGTGCGTAAACTGCACTTATATACAAGCGCTTGGTCTCGAACAACTGTATAATTTACAGTGGTTGCGCAGTCACAAACCAGCTCTCATCGTGGACGGTTGTCTGCTTAAATACCTCCGCATCTTCTGACCTAATCAATGTTATAAACCTCTTTTTCACCTTGCGCCCCTTTGCTCGGGCGCTTTTCACGTGTGATCTAACTTGAAAACAAAATTGCGCGTAAAGAGTAGACAGAAAAACCAAACGGAAAAAATGGGAAGCTAGCTGCGGGAAGCTAGCTGCTGTCCCCAACCCAAAAAAAACATTCTTTTCACCTAGATCTAAGGACATTGTTACATCCCGCTTTGATAAAAATGAAAAATAATTTAAGTTATCACCATTCGCAATCAAAAAATTGATTGATTTTAACTGCGGCTGAGAAGTCGACTCCTGCAAAACACTAAAAAGCGGTGAACTGCAAATAAAAAAAATTATTTGCAACAATTGAACAAGCTCCTGAAGATGTCCCATTTTACTGACATGTAAATAATTGTATCGGAACATCTGTCTTTTAACTACGGTAAGAAAGTTATCTTTAACGACCTGCTCGACATATCCGAAGAGGAAATACAATCTTAGCTTAAAGAGCAAAACGTTACTCTGGTTAAAAAGATAATGAAGAAAGTTGAATGTAATTTAAACTATCAGGCTTATTTGTTCTTACATTTGCTTCACCGAACGTCATAGAATATTCATGATCGGCTGTTAAAGAACCAAAATTCGCCCATATCTGCAAAAACCACTGCGCTGCAATAACTGTCTTCGTTTCTGACATACATTCAAAATCCCAAAAACATGCGCTAACGTGGTTCTCAGCACCACATGAAAAAAATGAAAAGAAAACATGCGTAAACAAAACCGGCTGCATCAACTACAGCATTAACAAACTACCACGTAACAGACACTTTTCCATCGTCAAAAAATGCCCAATATATGAGAAACAGGTGCAAATATCGTAATTAAAATCACTGAGAAGTTTAACATCAAAACAGCCTACGAAATGTATAATTGAAAAACCAACTCGGCAATGTAACCTCTGCCGACGCATTTAAGACGGCTCAACAAAATAACGACTAAAATACAACCAATACCAGCACCACCGCCAGCACTACCTACAACACCATCGCCCGCAACATTCTCAAGTATGATAATCTCGAAGACCTTACATCAATTACCCATCCCAGCACATCTTAACTCCTAAGTTAGATCAAAACCTTGATCAAATTAAAAATAAAAGTACAAGTACTACCCCGTGCAGCCTTAAAAAAAAAAACGACTGGCTAAGGGGATGACCTTTCTGCAACGTCGACTTGATCAGCCATTCGGGGAAAACACATGAACACAATCCACAGCCCACTGTAGCAAATCTTACTCTGTAAAACAGACACTTTAAAACTATAACTCAAATAACATATATATGCCTCTTATTATAATGCGGTGGAACATCTGCGACTACATAAATCACTACAGCGAACTTCTCATAATAATTAATT